AATAATAATAAATAATAATAAATAATAATAAATAATAATAAATAATAATAAATAATAATAAATAATAATAAATAATAATAAATAATAATAAATAATAATAAATAATAATAAATAATAATAAATAATAATAAATAATAATAAATAAAATAAATAATAATAAATAATAATAAATAATAATAAATAATAATAAATAATAATAAATAATAATAAATAATAATAAATAATAATAAATAATAATAAATAAAATAAATAATAATAAATAAAATAAATAAAATAAATAAAATAAATAAAATAAATAAAATAAATAAAATAAATAAATTCATTTTTTGACCAAGATTCTTAAATGCGGTCTCGTTTTTAAAAATAACATGCACATATTTCCTTTCCGGGTTGGCAATCTATAATAATTTTTAATTTTTTTTTTTAAAAAAAATGCAATTTTTTTTCCCCCCTTGGCCCCTAGCGTCGAGGATAGGTGGGGTGGGATGGGATAAGATAAGATGAGAGAAAGGGGTCTTCAACTCATCCTTTTCTTTTCCTTTCTTTTCCTTTCTTTTCTCTTCTTCTTCAGATCAAGAGTCTAGATTTCCTAACCGAGGAGAAACCGACGACGGCTGTCTCCTCCTTCTCGAATCGAGTGGGTGAAGTCGATGGAGGAAGAGCTTTGGTTGGCTTTGTTGGGGGGTGGTGATGGTTTTGCGCCTTTTTTCACTTTTAGCGGGAGGGTGGGAGGAGGGGAGGGAGGAGGGGAGGGAGGGAGGCGGGGGGGGAGGAAGGAAAAGCAGGTGATAAGCTAGCTGGCTATGTAGAAACCGAGAAAGAAAACCGCTGGGTGGGCAAGGCAAAGCAAAGCAAAGCAAAGCAAAGCAAAGCAAAGCCCAAGGGCCGTCCTGTCCTGTCCTCTCCCTATCGATCAATCTCTACGTACGGAGTAGAGGGAGAGAGAGAGAGAGAGCCGTTCTCAAAACCTCCGTCCCACCGAGCACCGAGCTGCGTTCGCCCTCCCACTCTTGCTGTGATTGTCATTACTCACGGAGTACGGAGTACGTAACCCCCTTGCGCATCCTATTTTCTCAGGTTGGGACATTACATTATATATATATATTTTTTTTTATATATATTATTTTTTTTTATTTTGAAGAGGGAAGAGGGGGTAATGAGATGGAGTTTAGCGTGGAGATAAGAGAAGACCCTTATTTTTTT